GTTTTTTTGAGGGGTGCTTTAGGGTTTTTAAGGTTTTATTAAAGGGGTTTTTCAGGGTTTTTGGCACTTGTTCGGTTTCTTTTGTAGGGTCTGTTGAGGTTCATGTGTTTTTTAAGGGTCTTTAGTGTTTAGGTTGTTTGTTGTCTTGCGGTTTTTAGGGTCTTTAGGACTGCTCCCAAGCTGGCAGCAGATTCACTTATCCAACGTTTAGGTTTGGTTTCTAGGCAGCACTTTTGGCCAGTTGGCATGTTGCCTGACAACCGCAAGTTTTAAACCGCAAACTCTCAACCTCAAAGCCGAAACTCTGAAGCAAAACCGAAACCCTGAAACCTAACCCGAAACCCTGAAACCCTACACCCTCAACCCTAAACCCTACACCCTAAACCCTAAACCCTAAACCCTAAACCTTACCTCCTCAATCTCTAGTTGCCACACCCGGAATCGCAGACCCTGAACGCGAGGATGCATTTTGGGCTTTGGGCTCACCACTACCCTATCGAGGTTCAGGGTTTAGGGCTTTAGGGTTTCGTGTTTCTGGTTTAGGATTTAGGGTTTAGGCTTAGGCGTTTGGGGTCCCGCAAGTAAAATCTATAACGGTTTAAAACGTTTGATGAGCACTTGTATATGCTTGTTCCAGAACGGTCACCCTAGACCCTAAACCCCAAGCCCCAAACCCCAAACCCTAAACCCTAAACCCCGCACATAAACCGGTAACGGCGTTGCCAGGAGTTCGAGTTCGAGGCTAGTGAGTTAGCGAGCATCATCCACGTCTGCCGGCACTTCCACGCGCTGTCCGCGGTCTCCACGAATGCCGCGCGACTGCAGAAGCCGACAGGATTCAGGGCTGATGGGTTTTTCATGTTTAGGGCCTTCTCTGAACCCTAAACCCTAAACGCCAAACCCTAAACCCTAAACCCTATTCAAGGGGCCCTTAAAACGAGTGAAGACTTCCGGGTCCGTGGGGCTCATCTCCCTCCGACAGGGATGGAAAGAGGCTCCAGGTATCTCCACGTGTAGATACGCAGAGCCTGGGTGAATGAAGCAGCATACGATACATATTAAGGTTTAGGGTTTAGGGTTTAGGGTTTAGAGTTTAGGGTTTAGGGTTTAGGGTTTAGGGTTTCAGGTTTAGGGCTTAGGGTCCCTAAACCCTACACCCCAAACATTCAACCTCCCATGTCCTACCGGTAAAGCCGAACCCTCTTGTAATGCAATGATCCTGGGCCCGAACCTTCGAGTTTCCAGGCCGCCTTTCGAACCCCATGAGCCCAAGGGTTGGCCCCTTGGGACATTGAAAATGGAGGGTTTAGGGTTTAGGGTTTAGGGTTTAGGGTTTAGGGTTTAGGGTTTAGGGTTTAGGGTTTAGGGGTTGGTAGGCCCTTTCGAAAATATCATACAAAGGTTTACGGTTAGGTAGGGCTTGAGATTTTTTGCTAAACCCTAAACCCTAAACCTTAAACCCTTCTTGGTTTAGGATCCAACCTTCTTTGGCAAGATGGTTCCAAGCACAGGGCCAACCATAGTAGTTCGGAATCCGGGAGAATGGAGGGACAAGGGACCCCCAGTGGTCTTGTAGAGCTTAGGGTTTCGGGTTAAGACTTAGGGTTTCGGATTTAGCGTTTGGGATTTGGGGTTTGGGGTGTAGGGCTTAGGGTTAAAGCCTTATCAGCTAGTCCCAAACACCCCTCAGCTCCCGCAAGCCGGATGCCCACCCTGAAGACTGCAGACACGGTAGCCCGGGCGGGGGGGGGGTTAGGGGTTAGGGTTTAGGGTTTAGAGTTTAGGGTTCAGGGTTTAGGGTAGTCTCTGCCAGGAGAAAGGGCCGGAAGCCGTGCCCCCAGATTGGTGGAGGTTTGGCGTTTAGAGTTAGGCTTTGATTGGGGGGTTCACATTTTTTTTTTTTTTTTTTGGGGGGGGGGGGGGGGAGGGGGGGCAGTTCATGCAGATTTGCGGACTAGGGCTTTTAGCAGCCTTGCACTGTAGCTGCCCAGTAGCAAGCCGAAAGCTGAGGCCCTAGCCACACCCTTCGCAAGCTCAACAGTTCACTAGGATGCCAAGTACCCTTCTTCCTTTTGTTTTTTGTTTATCTTTTTTTTTGGGCGGGCGGGGGAGGGGGGGGGGGGTCGGTCGGGGGGTTGGGGCGGAGGGGTCGGCGGGCGGGGGGGTCTAGGAACCTGGACAAGTATGTGGGGCAAGGCTCCTAAATTATGGTCCCATCAGGTGGTTCCGGTGATACGGAGCTGTCTTTTTCTAGAAGTACCTCAAACAAGGACCTTGAATGTAGTGAATTTGCTGTTTAGGATGCTAGGAAGTGTCCGTGCTGAAGCCCCAGGGCTTGGGCTTAGGGTTTAGCATGTGGGGATGTGAGAGGATGAACATCATCAGAAGAACATCTAGGATGCCCAGTAGTGCCCTTACTCCCTTTTTGGGGGGTTTAGGTTCCAAGGGCACCCTTGAATATCCCAGGTTGCTGGGCAACCCAGACATAAGAAGCATAGGAAGAATACGAACAAGAGTCGTAACGGCCCTTGAGGTGCTCGACCGCGCCGCCTTCTGCCGACTCTGCTGCGCTTTCGACGGCTTCCGCTCCTTGGGACGCCCGCGGCTCCGGCGCTCGGCGCCGCGGCTTCGGGGAGCTTCGGGGAGCCCCAAGGGTTTAGGGTTTAGGGTTTAGGGTTTGGGGTTTAGGGTTTCGGGGTTTAGGGTTTCGGGGTTTCGGGGTTTCGGGGTTTCCGGATTTAGGGTGTAGGGTTTAGGGTTCAGGGTTCAGGGTTTTCGGGTGTCTCAAAGGTTACCTAGCGGGGGAGAGGGAAGAGTCTTGAGTAGGCCTGCATTTGGAACTCCTCTCACAAGGATGATCGTCTTTTGCGTTTAGGGTTTAGGGTTTAGGGTTTAGGGTTTAGGGTTTAGGGTTTAGGGTTTAGGGTTTAGGGGGGAAATTACCCTCCTTTCATGTATAGGACTTCGTGCATCGCAGCCATGCCTGAAGTTTTGCTTGGGCCATGCACCTAAACCCTAAACCCTAAACCCTAAACCCTAAAAATACTTGTTGATGGCTATGCTGCAGCAGGAATGCACAAGGCATCGACTTGTGCACACTTGACTTGGCATGGTTAGGCAGCAGTCCTATGTTGTTCAGTCACTGCCGACGGTGTGTTATGCTCGGACCCCAAACCCACAGCCCAAAACCCTAAACCCCAAACGCCAAACCCTAAGCCCTAAACCTATGGGGCCACGCTTGGTGGATAGATGCCCTTTTGGCTCTCGGTGCCAGGACAATCAGCACAGTGTAATGCGTGCTGTCGTTGGTTGCTTATTTTAGCAGCAGAGCTCAGCGTACAAGGCCCTAACCCCTAAAGCCCAAAACCCTAAACCCTAAAAGCCCCTAAACCCTACAGTAATCCATGTGTTTTGCCCTCGCTCTAGACCCTCTCTTTTGTGGGTGGGTGGGGGGGGGTTGGCAAACCGAGGTGGCGCACTTCGATCGGCAAGCAACTCGGGTGACAGAACCTCGGCTATCAGTGGATGGTAGTTTGAACCCTTAAGATGCCTTAAAACCCTGTAAACCCTATGCCTAAACGTTATAAACTCTTTCAACCTGCCTTAAAACCCTATTTACTCTATATACCCTATAAACCCTTGAAACCCTAAACCATAAACCCCTTTCATAGGCTCTGACAGCATTCGGGATACTCCAACCGCACCAGCGCAAAAACAACCGCATACACGGATATAGTTATCGCGAAGCATACTGTCCATCCATTGGTCAACCTGTCTTTCTACCTATCGGTCCACTTAGATATCTACCTATGTCTACTCTCTCTCTCCCTCTCAATGTACACAAATGAATGTAAAAAACGTATATATGCATGTATGTATATAAATATATTTTTTGGCTTAAGTATATGATCTATCTTATTTGTTTGTTGATATTTCTCAACAAGATCGCAAGTAGAAGCTGCCAAAGCCATGTAGATCTTAAAACCCCCTACATAACCATGTCGCCCTAAACCCTAGACCCCAAGCCCTGAACCCTAAACCCGAAACCCTAGGCCCCTAGGTCCTGAAGCCGTATGGAAGGTGCAGAGCAGCAACGGCACCAGCATTGACGTGCTAGGGGTGCGGCTGGCCAAGGACCTGACTTAGGGTTTTGGGGTTTAGGGTTTAGGGTTTGGTGTTCAGTGTTTAGGGTTTAGGGTTTGCGGCTATATGTATATATGTGTATTTGAATTAATTTGCTTCATTATGTATGTTCTATAAGTATTTATGTGTTTGTATTCCTCAACAAGATCGCATGTAAGAGCTGCCAAAGCCCTGCAGATCTTAAACCCTTTGATCCAAAGCACCGAAAAGTCCACAGTGGCTTAGGGTGGGAGATCAACATGAGAGTTGCTGGTCCTTTCTCTTGACTGTAGGGCCAGCTAAGCCCTAAGCTCCAAACCCTTTTCCTAAACCCTAAACCCTAAACCCTAAACCCTAAACCCCAAACCCTAAACCCTAAGCCCTAAGCCCCAAAAGACCGAAGCCCTAACGGTTTCATCCGATGCCAAGAGATCCCCCAGAGTAAACAGTGTTGTGAGGTTTCGGGCGGATGTAGGCCCACCCGTCCCCCTGTCTCCAACTAACCCTTCACAAGAGCCCAAAACCCTAAACCCTAAACCCTAAACCCTAAACCCTAAACCCTGAACCCCTAAGCGATACCAAAGGATACCGGGAGGTACTTGAGGGGTGTAGACGGTGCAGGGGTTGAAAGTGCTCAGGGTCTGGGTTTCGGGTCTTGGTAGCCCAGTGCTGCCGCTTACTCCAATTTTTTTGGTTCTGGGTTCCCTAAAAAGGTAGCCAAGCCAGAAAAGCGTGCCCGTACTACCCTAAACCCGAAACCCTAAACCCTAAACCCTGAACCCTAAACCCTAAACCCTAAACCCTGAACCCTAAACCCTAAACCCTAATATGGTTACTGGGTTACCAAGGGGTTGAAGTGGGACGGCTGAGAGTTATGGATGGAGGACAGCAAGAAGGCAGTCGAGGCCAAGTGTGAGAAAGCTTAGGGTTTAGGGTTTAGGGTTTAGGGTTTAGGGTTTAGGGTTTAGGGTTTAGGGTTTAGGGTTTAGGGTTTAGGGTTTAGGGTGCACAAGAGTCAGGGTTTGAGGTCTAGGGTTATATGTCTTCGGGCTTCGGGCTTCGGCGTGAGGGTATCCCAGAACCCTAACCCTAACCCTGAACCATGAACCGTAAACCCTAAACTCTGGCAGCCACGCTGCAGCGAACTTTGCTAATTTTGCATTCCCCAGCTTACCCAAACTAAACATGGTTGATCATGGAGCCTGGAAAGAGGGCCTGTTGGGTGTAGGGTTCAGGGTTGAGGGTTCAGGGTTTAGGCCAGATATGCGCTCATGAGTGCCTTGACGTGTTTTAGATGTTTATGGGGCTCAGGTTTCGGATCTCAACCCCCCATCCCTGCCACATTTGGCTTGAGGCAGATGCACCCATCGCGTTGCTGTTCAAGTCGCTCGTTCAGGACATGCTTCTGGCCTGCATTCAGACCCTCCTGGTAGCCCAGTGATACCCTTTTTCGCGTGTTTTGGTTCAGCTTAAGAGTCCAAGTTGATCCCCTATTGACTGGACGAAGATGCACTACCTGCTGGGTTGGCCTAGTGCTGGTGGAGGAAATCGGAGAAGTGGTGGGAATGCAGTCGCCCTTGTGCTGTGCGGGGAAAGAAGGGATGTGGAGCATCGGTGAAGGGGTGGAGATCCCACACAAATCGGTGGAGGGGGCTGGACAAGCTTCGCTTGGAAAGGTGCGACTCCAGTTTACGCACAAGACCTACAACCTTAAACCCTAAATCTCTTCAACCCTAAACCCTAAATAACCCTAAGCCCTAAATCCCTTAAGCCATAAGCGCTTCAACCCTGCATCCCTTAAACCTCAAACCCTTAAACATTGAACCCCCAAAGCCCTCAAGAGTCCCAGGCCCCCGCTAAACCCTAAAACCTTCAACCATAAATCCCTCAACCTCCACAGAACACCCCTGAAGCCCTCACCCTAAACTCTAAAACCTTAAGCCTTGAGTTTGAAAACCCAAGTCCTTAAATTTAAGACCCCCTAAACTCCTTAAACCCCAAGAACCTTAAACCTTAAATCTGAAAACCCTAAGTCCGTAGATTGAAAAACCCCTAACCGAACTCCTGAAAACCTAAACTCTTCAAGCCTAAAACCTTAACCCCTGAACTTGGAAACCCTCAACCCCAGATCCCTGTAACCCTAAAAGCCTTCAACCTTACATCCCTTAAGCCCCAAACCCTAAACCCCAAGCCCTAAACCCTAAGCCCTAAACCCCGAACCCTAAACCCTAAACCCTAAACCCTAAACCCTAAACCCTAAACCCTAAACCCTAAGCCCTAGACCGAAAAAGGCTCAACGACCAGGGCTGGGAGCTCGAGGACAAGGCACGCCGCGCGTCGATGAAGCGAAACGTCTGGAACTGGTTCTTTGAGAGCCTCGGCCTGGCTGGGTTTAGGGTTTAGGGTTTAGGGTTTCGGGTTTCGGGTTTCGGGTTTCGGGTTTAGAGTTTAGAGTTTAGGGTTTAGGGTTTAGGGTTTAGGGTTTAGGCTTGAGGGTTGAGGGTCTAGGGTTTAGGGCTAACTAATTTCTTTGAGAGCCTTGGCCTGGTGGCCTGTGGGGGGTTTAGGGTCTAGGGTTTAGGGTTTGGGGTTGGGGTTTCTGGCTCTCCTGGGGGGGGGGGCCTTTAAATGAACCCGAAGATTGTTGTCATATACTATAGTTCCTATTGAGATAATGAATTGGGATGTTCCCCCTTATACTAACAGTCCTGAATAGGGATTATAGCACCCCCCCCCCCCCCAATCAGAATCCCTGTTAAGGACTGTTAGTATAAGGTGGAACATCCCAAGCCTAAACCCTAAACCCTAAACCCTAAACCCTAAACCCTAAACCCTAAACCCTAAACCCTAAACCCTAAACCCTAAACCCTAAACCCTAAACCCTAAACCCTAAAACCTAAACCCCCTTTGAGGGTTCATTGGGTTGTCATAGAAGCTCCTGCCTTGCTAAGGGATTGCAAGGATGGGCCCTTAATTTGGGTCCATCGGGTTTAGGGTTTAGGGTTTAGGGTTTAGGGTTTAAGTTCAGCCCCTGTATACACCGTACATAGTAAGGGCCCATACTTCGGATCCCTATAAACAAGGGGAATGGGACCATACTAAGGGAACATGGTTCCAACCTTAGACTAGCCTAAACCCTAAACCCTAAACCTAAACCCTAAACCCTAAACCCTAAACCATAGACCCTAGACCCTAAACCTAAACCCTAAACCCTAAACCTAAACCCAAATCCTCTGCCACCCACCTTAGACTTGCGCGCCAAGGATTCTCCTTCCCACCGCACAGGAGTATGTGCACGCGCGGCAAGAGCAACTGCAGGACCCATCCCAGTCTGGCAGCCACAGGGCTTTTCGCCTTTGGGGTTTAGGGTTTAGGGTTTAGGGTTTCGGGTTTAGGGTTTAGGGGTTTAGGTTTTGGGGTTTAGGGGCTGGGGGCGCCATCACTCTGAAAGAAAAGAGCCTAAAGTGTCAAGAGCTTGGGGATGGGAGATTCCTGGCGGTTGAATTTAGGGTTTAGGGTTTAGGGTTTGGGTTTAGGGTTTGGGGTCTGGGGTTTAGGGTTTAGGGTTTAGGGTTTAATTTGGGTTTAGGGTTCAGGGTCGGTCTTCGGTCTGAGGGTCAGGTCATGCCTTGCACTTTCCACGGCTCTCGAAATTGCCGACTTTGTCAGATATGGCAGGCTTCTCTTTTGGAGAATGTGGGGGGGGGGGGGGATCAGATATGGCAGGCTTCTTTGGGAGGGGGGGGGGGGGGGCAATGTTAGACGTACCTAGGCTATGTCGCACGCGAAGAGATTAGGTTCTAGATGACCAATCCGGTCTAAAGATGAAGCCAATGATGGTAGCTTTGGTGCGTAGGGTTTGGCGTGTTTTTAGAGTTTCGAGTTTATAAGTTTTAGGATCTAAATCCTGGGCCCTTGTTGGGGTCTTCATGTTGGTCTTCTACTTGTAGTTTAGAGCACAAACGGCCACGACATTAAATCATCCGTCTTTGTTGGATAACTGGCAGGAGAAAGCCTGCAACGGACACCCATAAGTGATACCAAAACCCCTTGGCTTAAGGAACAGAGTGAAGGTATTTCCATAGTCGAGAATGGCTGAGAGGTATCGGGGTACTCATGAAAATGATGCCCAACCCCCCCCCCCCCCCCCCCCCCCCCCCCCCCCCCCCCCCCCCCCCCCCACACCCCCCCCCCACCCCCCCCCCCCCCCCCCCCCCCCCCCCCCCCCCCCCCCCCCCCCCCCCCCCCCCCCCCCCCTTCCGCCCCGCACCCCACACCCCACACCATCAGGCGCAAACACTACGCTCTAAACCCTCGCCTCGACCCTAATCCTGAGCAAAATCTCCTGAAGCATAACACCAGCCAAACCCTCGACTGGGGCCCCTACCTAAAAAGCTACAAAGCCCTAAAAACCTTAAAAAGCATCCAACAACCCGAAAACCCCAAAAACCCTAAAAATCCTAAAAACTCGAGTAGATTCCCTAAAGACCCTACAAGCCCTAAAGGAACCCTAAAAAAGCCGTAAAAGCCCTACAAAGCCTAAGGCCCTAAAAGCCCTGAATACCTAAAAACCCTTAAGGAAAAACAAGAACCCGAAAAGACCCGAAAAACCCTAAAAGCCCTAAAGACCCAAACAAAAACCTAACAGAAAAACACAACACAAAAGCCTAAAGACCCAAAAAGCCCTAAAGCCCTGAAAGCCCTTAAAGAAGGCAAACCACAAACCCTAAAATCCCTAAGGCCCTAAAGGCCCTTAAAGAACAAAAAAAACGCCCTGCGAGGCCCGCATCCGCCAAGCGGCACCGGCAGTGCCGGTTGCTCCAGAACCGCCCGAGGAGGAGGAGGAGGCCCGCGGGGGCTTGTTGGGGTCCTTATGATAAGGGAATCCTTCTATATGGGGGTCTATATCAGGGGTACCTTTTCATCGAAAACGGGCTCATGCACAAAGCCCTGAAGCCTCAAGCAACTTACTGGCTCTTAGTGGGCATGAGCAGAGGAGGTACCCTGTAGAATCATTTAGGGGATATTGATAAAGGGGTATCAGGTACCTAACTCTCCTAAACCCTGAACCCTAAACCCTAAACCCTAAACCCTAAACCCGAAACCCTAAACCCTAAACCCCCTACCTAAAAAGAACCAGTGGGAGATTTTGATCAGCCCTCAAGCCCAAGCCCTCCTAAACTTGCCTGAGCGGTTTAGGGTTTAGGGTTTGGGCTTTAGGGTTTAGGGTTTAGGGTCTTAACCCCGAATCCCCATTCATTCACTGTAGCTTGGTGGGGAGGCCCTTCCATTCGGCATGGTTCAGGGTTCAGGGCGCAGCTATGGGGTTTAGGGTTTAGGGTTTAGGGTTTAGGGCCACAGCCCTTTCTTCTCTCAACCCCAAGCTTGAGAAGCGCTCTCCAGGCCGAAGCAGGGCCGAAGCCGGAGGAGGCCTCTGTGGTGCTTTACTGTAACTTCTGATGTATAATATGTCATGTACAACATAATATATTATATTATATATACATCATAGAAATATCAATGTAATCACAACCTTAGCCTTTTTGGTTTTATTGGGTTTCTTAATGGATACTGCGGCAAAAAACTACATGTATAGCTTCCCTTCTGAGTGCAGCCAAGAGGCAGATGATGGGGGCGGGGGGCGGGGGGGGGGGGGTGAGCAGCATTTGGTACCCTAACCTCTTTAAGGGCTATAGACATATATGTACGTACATACATATGTATGTATATATATGTATGTTTTTTTTATGCATAAATATGCTACCGCCCCCCCCCCCCCCCACCCCCCATGTACCTACCCTTTCTGGGCTGAATTCATAGAATAGGTAAATAGCGTCCCCGGTCGGTTCTAGGCCCTAAACCCTAAACCCTAAATCCTAAATCCTAAACCCTAAACCCTAAACCCTAAACCCTAAATCCTAAACCCTAAATCCCAAATCCTGGCGCCTAAACCCCAAACCCGGTTCTATGGCGTTCGCCTCTGAGAGGAGGAGAATGGCAGCGAGAGCGACGCTGAGTTCGAGGCCTGGCTCGGGGGGTTACGGGAAAAATTTGGGACCCCCAAATCGGGTTTAGGGTTTAGGGTTTAGGGCTTACGGAAAATAGGGGACCCCAATCTAGATCCCCAAATAGTAGGATTCCTTTTATCATAAGGACCCCAATAAGGTACCCCTATAGTCGGAAATCACCGGCCCGGGGTTGAGGGTTGTTTAGGGTGTTTTAAGGTTTTAAGTTTTTTGGCTCATCAGGGGCGAATCTGAGCGCGGCAATCTAAACCATCTCTCCCCCGTTTTTTTGCGAGGACCCGCGGGAGAGGCAGAAGCTTCAGAAGGATCTTTATGCCCACACCTTCGTGGTCCTCAAAGGGGGGGGGGGGGGTTTAGTGTTTAGGGCTATCTACAAAGTTCTTACAGTTCTTACTCATTTAGGGATATTGATGTGTGGTGGTTGCAAATCGGGGTACCCAGGTACCGGGTAGTTCTTTACTCTATCAGTGTCGTATTTTGGCGGTATATTAGGGGTACCCCTATCTCCGGCTGGTTCTTCCTTTACGTCTTCTGAGTCCC